CCCCCCAGTTGCAGGACGCTGGCCAAGCTGGTAAACCCCCTCAGGGACCCTCTGCCTCAGAGCCCACACTCGGTACCAACACGGTATGCTTGCACATCAGAGGTGCCGTTGACATACAGGCACCTGCTCTCACAGGACGTGGGCACCCAGAACACGGAAAAACCACCCATGTCCACAAACCATAAACAGTGCATCTCTCCACTCAGTGTCCACATGCACGACTGGCAGGAGCATCCTCTCCCGAGGAGGGCCCAGGCACTAGGGTATCCTGCAGGCCCTTCGTGTGAAGGTCAGCATCAGGCTGCACCAGGGGATGACAAGTCCAGACAGTGGTCCCATCTGGGAGTGGCCAGTGACTAGAAGGGCTTCGGGGGCACCTGAGCTGCCAGCCTCAGGGGTGTTGGGTTGGGACAGGTCTTTGTGGGCTGAGACAGCTGGCAGTTGGCCTCCCTCGAGATGCTTTTGACCCGGCACAGCAATGGTCAGACAAATATAAAATCAGTCTGGCCTTTAGCCAGCACTCGGCTCTCAGGATGGGTCTACTTCTTAATGCAGATAATCCAAAGAAAATATGCTTTTAAATTCCAAAGACAACTGGATAGCTTCCAATTATGCAAAATGTAGGGACTCACATTTAACAAAAAAATGTTCTTGAAAAAATATGCTCCTTGCCCTGGCTGGTGTGGCTCAGCTGCTTGGGCATTGCCCCAGGCACCAAGGGGTCACCGAGTTCAGTTCCTGGTCAGGGCACATGCCGGGGTCGTGCACCCCCCAAGGTATAGGGCATGTAGGAGGCACCTATTAATGTTAGGCTCTCACACTGATGTTTCTTTCTCTCTCTCCCTCTCCCTTCCTTCCTCTCTCTCTAAAAATCAATAAACCATTTAAAAACTGCACCTTGAGCAATGAATATTTAATTAAGGAAAATGATAAATCAGGCATTAATGGGAAAATATGTTCACCCTCAGAATTCAAGGTTTTAATGGGTCCCTGGCACATCTTATACTGTTTTTATTGTGGTTTTATTGCTTTTTACTACTTTTTATTGTTTTCTGGGTTTTTTCCTCTCTGCTCAATTTTATTAAAACTCTCCGCATGCAGGGGAAAGAAAAAGCTCTCAGTCTGCAGAGCCGTGGCCTGTTGCTCTCTGCTCTTTGTCTTGGAGAACCCAGATCTGGCAGGTTTAAGGGGTCTCACTTCCCTCTGTCTGGCTTCATGGCACAGTCAGAGGGGTCTCGGGCGTCCAGAGGGAGCCAGGAGGTACATAAAATGGCATGGAGTTATCATGGGGGAAACTGAGGCACAAGCTTCAGATGTACAGCAGTCTCAGAACCCTTTCCGATGCACATGCCTGAAGCGCCTTCTCCCTCACCGGTGGGAATTAATTCACATACAGTCCTCACTGATGGTTTATGGTCCTTCAGACCTGGTGCTAAGTCGGTTATTCCAGGCACCGTGTTAACCACATACATGCCGTCTTCAGCTCCTGGCAGGGAAACCCCTGAGGGGGAAGCACATGTGCAAGAGGCATTCTGAGCCCAACTGCAGGAGGTGGCCCGGTGTGGGGTGTGCCTGGAGGCCCTCAGCCCAGCTTTGGGGTAGGAGCCACACTCAGGCCGCTGCTGCTTTATGACTCTCGGGAGCAGTGCCCGTTTCCCTTCCCTGCTGCGGTGCTGGGCCTTTTCCATGGACAAGGACACTTGTGGTGTTGCCAGTATCTTCCGTGTGGGCAGTGTGAGCTCTCGCTCAGTGCTTGTGGGTGGTGTCCAGCAGTGGGGGTGTGGATTCCCCGTTGACCGCTCACAGATGACGAATTCAGAGTGACAGCAATAAAGGCAAAGGTGTGCACAGGTACGGGGCCCCGCGGGCGCCGGATCCTGAGGCTGTGAACTCGTGGTGGCAGTGTGAGGTTAGACAGGGCACTTCAGGCAGGGGCTCAGAGCCTGCCAGCTGCTGCCACCGTTTCTGCTCTTAAAAACACAGCTTGCAGTTTGTGTAAAAGTGGTGTGCAGTCTCAGGGAAAAGCACCAGGGGCTGGGCCGGTTTGAGAAAATGCCACAGAGCAGGTAGCATTTGACTTAGGCTTGAAGGACTGACAAGACTGAAGTAAGAATGGGGCACAGACAGGAGTGGTAGGGGGCTGGTGGGAAAGCTGCCCGCCGAGGGCACCTGTCCCTGCTGCCTCTGAAAGAACCAGGAGAGGTCTGTTGTCCTCGATGCGCCTCAGTCCAAGTTGGGGGAGGGGGCACGGGGCAGCCTTGCCTTATGCCCAAGGCAGCAAGGTGCCCCTGGGCTCAGGGGAGGCAGCGATGGAGGAGACTCAGCGGCTGTCCCCTCCAGGCCTTCATTGCCAGTCCAGCCTCAGAACTGGCCTGCAGCTTCCTTCTGAAGTTAGAAAAGGTTTCTGCCACACTTGGTGGTCAAGCTGACCTCCAAGCCCTCCGTGGCCTTAGACAGCTGTCATGGTGGGGCCAGGGAAGGGTAGGGGCAGTTCCAGGCAGGGCACAGGCATCTCCTCGGGTGCCAGGGCCCACAGGGTTTCCAGAACAAGGAGCACATGAAGCTCCTGGATGCTGGAAGAAGCAGCAGGGCCACCTTTGACCAATCTCAGAGTCCCCCAGACAAATGAAGGCAGGGAGGGCTTCACAGAATCCTCAGGGCCCTGGGACCAGCACCTGAGGGGCAGGAAGGCAGTTCCCTGGAGGGCCCCATGGGCAGGGGACCCTGGCTGGGGTCTCCTCTGCTTCTCCTCTGCAGAGTAGCTGCCCAAATTGACCGCTGGGTCCTTCCAGGGACTGAGGCCTGTCTGGGCCTCGATTTGTACCTGGGAATGAGTTCAGTGGGTAGACAAGGCCTTCAGATCCCATCACACCCCAAAACACATAGCCCCAAATCATTGAAGAGTGGTCCATTTGCCCCAATCCAAATCTAGGGTTGTGAATTAAATGCTAAAAGTACAAAAAAACTTCACTGGATACTCATAGTAGGCTGTTTTAAATTAACGTCAATTGATCTTAGTTAGACATTTATATATTCAAATAATTTAAATTTAAAGTCAGTGAGTCCACCAAAAGCCCTTTCTACCTTCAGAGTTGGGTCAGCTTCACCCTGGACATCACAGGAGGCC